TAGTGAACTCAGTTGGACACAACTAGAACACGACTAAGACACGTCTAGGATACAAGTAGGAAACGACTAAGAATTTTTTTATTAAAAGAAATAATTTTTAACTATCAAAAAGAGTGTGATTTTGATTTTTTTAATATATTTTTTATTATGTAACTTATATAATATGAATGTTAATAAATGCAATAATGTTTGATTGAAATAGTGAATATTTAATTTGATCTATTTTAATTTTAATCAAAAAATAATATTTGTTAGGTCTTATTATTAATATTGTTATAATATATGCTTTATTTTCAATATATTACAACTCTATTATTATTTAAAAAATATATTATATTATTTTAATAGTCGTATCGTTGTCGTACTCGTGTCCCATATTTATTAATTTTGTCGTATTTCCGCATCCGTATCGTATCGGATACGACACCTGTGTTCATATACTTGCTTCCTAGCATAACATTAACTTGATAATTTTACACCATTTTGGTATCCAAACAAGATGCAAATTGAAGTAAAAATAAAGTTTCTTACGACCATGAACAAACATCTAAATCAAAGAGTCTGCAATACTAATTTTTCATATTCGACATGTTTTTTTGTTAGTTGGGGTGAATGTCCAAGCCCAAGTAATCACGGATTTATTGCAAGTTTATCTTTGCTAAAACCACCTAACCACTACCAATAGATAGAGCCAGAGCCAGTGCCAGTGATAAATTATGAGCCACATCTTGCACAATATACCTCTATGAAAATTTGGGCAATAGTGGCCCTATTTTGGAGTCTAAGGTATCTAAATAGTATAGTTTTAACATCGTGGTTTTTTTGTGTGTGTGTGTATGTTTCACATATGATAGTAAAGTCATGTCTTTGTCAAACCAAGTAAACTAGAGGTAGTTCCTGAGTTAAGGACATTTTCTGATATCACATACAAAGCATATTGATTGACTTGCAAAAGAAGGTTATCCATCTTTACACTTTAAAACCTTGCTAATATTTTGTATTGTATATCATAAATTTTCTATTCTTATTTTAAGATTTTTTCCAATTAGCAGAATGAAGCACTAGCAACAAAAAAACTTTGGTTGGCCACGTAAAGCAACATATTATAGTTTTATGTTGCTTTTTTGATCTACTAGCAAAGATACCTTGTTACTTTTATTTTCTATGTTTATCCTTGATTAATTTTCCAATGTCCATTTTATTATTTATCAAATAACTATAGGAATTGATTTTGCTCTCAATATAACAGTTAACCTTTTGAGGTTTTTTATTTTCCTTCTGCTTTCTGATATACAACAAAATCCAAAGCCATTGTATTGATTTAAGTTTAGATGCTATAGATTCTAAGAATAAATATGTATCTCATGCTCCATGAGCACAGATTCTGCTCTCCTTTTTTGCCAATTGCAATACATTTTTTTAGAAAGACAATGATTGTAAATTCTTGATTGTTTTTATTTGTTTCTTTGGGATTTCTGTAGCATTTTTTTGGGTATATTGTCTGCATGATTCTGCTACACGTGTATTTTGCCCTCCAAACATGCTTATAGATTTGCCTTTGAACTTTCTGATGGTCAAATAAGAGATTTAAGTCGTGTCATCTTCATCAAATGAAGAATTTTTTTTTGGTAAATCTGCATTTGTAAGAATAATTACAACTTATTTTCCCAATGAAATGGGCCAGATTGCATAACAAATCACATAAGACAAGACTATCTGACAAGATTGATAAAAATTAAATTTGTTTTAACATTATGGAACTAGCTATTTGCCATTGTGAAGCTTTAACTCAACTTTGCTTGCTCGAAATTTATCGAAATACTACAAATATCTTGATCCCTATGTAGTAGGGGTTTCTTCCACCATGGACACAATTTAGAGGACTTTAGAGCATTGGCGAACAATTCATCGACAAATGTTGTTAATCATTTTGAAGTATTCAGCAGCCCTAATTGCTAGGGGTTTTTCTTTTTCCTAATGTGTTCTTCATGCATTTTCTTTTTTTTGTTCTCTTTGAGTTTTCGCATAAGAATAATTAGTGGTTGCTCCTTCAACTATAATCAAGTATATATGATTGATTTAGTCTAGATATAAAATATAAAAGTATTGATGTTTCACTTGACTATAGTGTGACATGGCCTGCACTTGAATTAAATTGGAAGGAACGCATAGTCAACACGCAGTTTAGAGAGAATTTATCTTCTATAATAGACTGTGAAATTAAAACTATAAAACTAATTTATTTGGTTGTGAATTATCGTTAAGTATATGTCCCTAATTAGATGAAAGGAATTTTGTTTTATTTATTAATAAATAAATGGAATGTGCTTCTCAATTGATCTCTACATCTAATAATTTTGATTTTTCTTTATTGAGTAACGCATTAATCATAGGATAAATGCTTCTTCTAGCAATTTCCTTTTGTTATGAGTTTCTTTATATTTTCCTCGGTTCATTTCATCCCTATTTGATTGACTACGATTGTTTAATTGTGATGACTGGACTTTCAAATGAGATTTATTTGCAAATAGGAGTCATTTGTGATACAAATAAGTAGAAGCCGTAAATTTTTGTTTGTGATTATGGAAAGGTCCAAAGTAAGGTATCTTACATTATGTACGATTTTTGTTTAAGAAAGTTCATTTTCCTTTAATTTGTCTTTTTCCGTTACGGACCTTATACACCTATTTAATGGGTTCTGTGCCTCTTCCTTCATGGTAAATTTTTACTTGACTTTGATTCATGTAATTTTATACCATATAACTCTAAGACAAATGATGTTTACCGTAACTTTCAAATACTCCTTATTCAAAATGCAGGTTTTTTTTGCCAAGTATTCTCATTCTTTTCTATGGAAAGTCGAGGAAGGTAATCAAATATGTCCTATTGAGCATTTTAGTTTATAGTTCCTACAAAATGTTTGGATAAATTGTCCAGTATTCTTCTGCCCAATCTTTAGTACCTGTGGAAGGAACTTGTTGAACTTGTTATAATGTAAACATTGGCGGGTCTGAACAAAAATCAAAAAGTCGTATTACAGGGAAACATAATTTTAAGCAAGGGCCAACTTAGATTCTAGGAACTTCGTATTTTTATTTATTGGGTTTGGGTAGCATGGAGGTCAAGGAAAAAGGAGCTTACCAATACTAAGGATCTCCTTTTGTGTGACTAAGAAATTCTTATAGCATATGGCATTCTAACATTGTAACGCTAATGATTAGGTGATTTTCTTTTATTAACATTCTCAGGAGTAAAAATGCTGATATGAAATTACTATGTCACACTCTTAAGATGAAAGTGAGATTTGTTAGACATTAGTACTTGAAAATGTTTAGCATGTGAAGAATAGTGACATACTGCACTTGAGACAGTGACCTACATTGTGCTTCAATAGTGATTTCCAACGAAAAAGCTTATTGATTTAGTACAAGGGTGTGGAATTTTGTTCTGATTTTTGAATGCCTTTCAGACCTCATCTATAGGGTTTTAAGATTATACTGTAATTTTTTTTTTCTAATTTGCTTTTAGGTACATTCAAGTTGACGCTTCAATTTACAAAGGAATTTCCAAAAAAACCAACAAAAGTGTGATTTATTGTTTGAATGGTTCATCTAAACACTAATAGGGACATAGAAATACAAGATGCCATCTCCGTATACTTTGTAATCATTTATACGATTTATATTTAGTAGGATCCATTGGTTCAATGGCTAAAATTCGGTTCATTAACCTCTAGACTATGTTCTCAAATATAAGGATTACTTTGTAAAAATAATGTTAAATATTAGACTATGTGACAGTGGAAGCATACTTTTTTCTCACTCTTCACAATAACATTTGATTTGTATACACTTTATTTTTTTTTAAAAAAAATTTGTCATTATTTTGTTTGGTGCGAACGGCTTAAAGGAGGTGGTTCTCTTCAATTTATCAATTATTTTTTTCCTTCATTCATATTCACTTATAATTTGTGAAGTCTTTTTGTGTCTTCAATTGATTTCGGGTCGAATGCTTGACAACACAATCCACATGCCGTCAAGTTTTTTTTTTTTTCTTATTGTTGTAAGTCCATTAAAGAACTTTAAGTAGAGGATGCATTAATTTCATTATGACAGTTTATGTAGATCTTAATATTTTTCTTGGTCATAAGAGTGCAAGCTTTTAATGTTATATCCGACTTGGCACCATTCCATTTGGGTGAACAATGAGTGCCACTTGACCCGTGGTTGACTCGTACACATCTCTATCGGCGTGGTTGAGCAATCGTCGTCTACCCATAATATTTCATTCTAGATAATTTTGTGACGTAATGTTATCTTAATTGTGATATAAGTCTTTATTATGTCCTGCTTATTTGCAGTTTACTTTACACCAAATGTTTCTAAGTGCCTTCTCTATAATAATCAATTCTGCGACCTTGAACTATTATTATTTTGGCAGCATTTGAATTGATGTTATCTCATCTCTCTAATAGACTAGAAACACCTGCGTGTATGCACAAGAACACATACACCCTTTTACTAGGAATTAATTATCCAAACACAATTATTTTGAAACTTCTTTACTCAAAGATTGTTTTAAACTTATTTACTAAACTACTATTATTTAAAAAAAAACGTATTTACAAAAAACATATTTTTTTGTTTTTTTAAACACGCTTTTAAAGATTTTTCGTTGGAATTGAGTGTTCAAAACACTTTTTTTTAATGCAGTCGAAAACATATTTTAAAAACAACGGTAATAAGGTAAATAAGTTCAAAATTATCGTACGTGGGTAAGTTTTCAAATAACATAACTACATAATTAACTTCTCTAACTAGACAGCATAATTAGTGATTCACAGTATTTAGAAAGGGGTGACTCAGTTTTATTGTACACACACGGTTGAATCAATGCATCACTTGAGTACACCTATAATCTCCCCAAACTACTGCTACATTACAATGAAATTCACTTCAAAAGCTTGTAACTGGAACCCAAGTTCAACAACGACATGAAATTTATCGTTGGCGATGGAGATTTCTGTTGTGTGCTGGTCTCTTTCTGCTCACCCTGGATAATCTATAAACAATTTTGTCCACAAAATCGAAGTATACACCACGCCAAGGCTTTCTAATCACGAAAATCAGGTAAGGGACAAGAACACCTGCAGCAAATCCCAGTCCGAGACTCCAGTAAAACCACTTGTCAATGAAGCTATCGTTGCTGCCATCCTCATCAGTCTGTCCTTTGGTTGAATCTTCACCAGGGCACTCCACAAGAAGTGGAGCTCCACAAAGACCAGGGTTTCCCCCAAAAGAAGACTCGGTGAATGTTGTCATCTGCCCCATATAAGGAATCTGACCTGGTAACTGATTGTTCGATAAATTCAGATAACTCAAGAATGTTAATTTAGACATGATTGGAGGAATGGCACCCGAAAGCTTATTACTTGAGAGATCAAGAGATGCCAATTGACGCAAATTTGATATGCTTTCTGGGATTTGACCACTGATTTGGTTTCCTGATATGTTCAAAACCACCAGGCCGAACAGCTTCGTTAATTCCACTGGAAACTCTCCAGTTAGATGATTTCCAGACAGGTCTATGGAGGTCACAAGGGATAGAGTCTTGGTGTATTTTTGAGATTGTCCTTTTATATTTACAACCAAGCTTTCTTCATAATAGCTGCCCCTGTAAAAGCCATATAACAGATATTTGTTTATTTCATGCTCTTGTGACATGGCTTTCAGGTCACCGAAGCTAGTTGGGACTTTGGCAGTCAACTTGTTTTCTGCAAGATCAAGGACTCGTAGTGATCTCAAATTTGAAAGCTCACTGGGTATTTCTGCCAGAAATGCATTTGACCTCAACTTGAGGATTCTAAGATTGGTGAAACCATCTCCGAACCATGATGGAATAGTACCTGACATTCTGTTGTTTCCAAGATCCAGGGTCTCTAAACTAGACAAATTTTTGAAAGAAGAAGGAATCTCTCCGGAAAACATGTTGTCGTTCAGGTGCAGTGATTGAAGCAGGTTCAACTGGCCCAAAGAACTTGGAATAACCCCAGAAAAATTGTTGAATCCAAGATCTAAAGCCTTTATGTAAGAGAAATTTCCTATGCTTGGAGGAATGCTTCCTATCAATCTATTGTTCGATAGATCAATGACTTCAAGCAACTGCATTTGTCCTATGGAGGTTGGTATTTCTCCAGTTAGTTGGTTACTGGAAAGAGAGAGAAAGATCAAGTATGGCATGGATTCACTAATATTTTGAGGGATTGGGCCAGAAAATCTATTGTTGGACAGATCTAGTAATTCAATAACATCACTAGGAAGAGGAATGACACCTTCAAGGAGGTTGGAGCTGAAGTCAATATCTGCATAGGGGACTACATTTAATGGATTTGGTAACTGACCCTCTAACTGATTCCGAGAAACATTTACCAGGGAAAGATTAGAAGCAATATCCCAAAACCAACGTGGTATGGAATCTGAAATGCTAGCATTTGAAATGTCAAGGAAGTTAAGCTCCTTCTGATATTGAAGCCAGGCAGGAAATGAAGGACCCAATTTGCAAGAACCCATGTCAAGATTATGGACTAGGAATGGAGGGACCCAACTTGAACTGACATTAAAAATAAAGGAATTGGAAGACAAGGACAAGAAATACAGATTAGTCAGATTTAAAAAATGGGCCTCCGAGATAGTACCTGTCAACTGATTGGAAGAAACATCAAGCCCCGACAACTTTGAAAGCTGCCCAAAGCTCTCTGGCAGTGTCCCATTGAGATTGTTTCCTGCTAGAAACACACCAGTTAGATTTTGCAGTGTCCCAATAGAAGCGGGGATCGGACCTTCCAATAAGTTAACATCAAGTCCAAGTCCCTCAAGATTTTCAGGCTGACCCAACCATTCTGGTAATCTACCCATCAGCCGATTGAAGCTCAAATCTAAATTCACCAAACTAGGCAAAGGACTTTTAGAAACACAGTTCTTAGTTCCTTCAAGTAATTCAGGTAAACTTCCTGTCAAGTTATTTATCTGATAAATCAAAATTCATTGCATAGCCTACCAATGGAGCCAGGTATTTCACCCTCGACGCTGTTTGAAAAAAGATCAAAGTCAGTGAGGAATGTCATGTTTCCAATGGAAGCAGGAAGTTTACCATGTATTCTGTTAAAAGCAAAATTGATGACCTCTATTTTCCTCCAGCTTCCCCTGAACAACTGAGGGCAACTGGCGCTGAGATTATCAGTCCCAATAAGGTACAAATATTGCAGACTTGGAAGCTCGCTAAGACCAAGTGGAATCCTTCCTCTTAGGACATTGAGGCTTAAATCAATGTACACAAGGCTGCTGATATTCACAAGCCAATCAGGGAACTTCGAGTTAAAGTTGTTAAACACAAGGTCCAGCACAGCAAGTGAGGTGAAATTAACAAAGCCAAGAGACGAAATAGAACCAGTTAAGCCACAGCCTGGAAGATGCAGCTCAGTTAAATAAGGAAGCGAGTTCAGTACTTCTAGCCTGCTTGATCCCACTAATGAAAGGTCCACATCGTCCATCGCAAGATTTTTCAAAGAGAGAAGGCCAGTCATCCATTGAATGTTATCAACCATCAAAGGAGGGAATTCAGAAGAAAGATCAAGATATTGCAAACTAGATAGGTTTCCCAAACTTGGAGGAATTTTGCCACTAAACCCCGCTTTTGACAGGTTTAAATACTGTAAATTCTTCAAAGAATTCAGGAACTGGGATGTGTTGAAATGTGTTGCAACTCAAGTCTAAATATTTTAATGACCTCAGTTTCAGCAGTGAAGGTCTAATGTCTCCACTCAAGTTCCAGAATCCATACCTGGTATTAGAATCAGAAGCAACTGGATATGGATTCCGAAGATCAATGATGGTAACGGCCGCTGTTTTGTGGTCACAGCCGATTCCCAGTCACTGACAACAGTTGCTGCCACTCCATGATGAGAGCCGGTTCTCAGGATCGTTAAGGCCATTTTTGAAGTCATTAAGAGCTTGAAGATCTGATTCTGAACAATTCAGGAGGAGGGTATCTCCAAAACAAACAAATTTTGTTGTTATTGAGTAAAGAACAGCTACAACAAGAAGACTGACAACAGGAAATCGCCCCATCGGTTCAGGTTCAATTGTTCAATGCATGAAAACAACAATAATGCACAAAATGTAGGAATGACTATATGGTCTTTATTTTCTTGATCTGCAAGGAAATTATTCCTGAAGAAGAGTTAAAAATGAGCTTTCTTAGGTAAGATCAAATGGAAACTATGCGAATATTACGATGTTAATGTTGACTTCTGTGGCCTGCAGCCATTACTGGCTTTGGACAAAAGTCAAAAGCTGGCCTCAAATTTCAGAGGAAGGGTAGCTTAAAATCAAGAGGAGTGGGCTGTGCGTGAATGACTAATTTATGCACAGTTCGGATCAGATTTGCACAAATCTGAAGTGTTGTCCGTTTCCTCACAAATCTGAATGGCTAATTCATGCGAGTGAGACTTTCTGAGTAGCAAAAACAGCTTCTGAGGACTTAAAATGTTTTGCTATCGCTACTGGATTATGGTGCAATTTGCTAAATATAAGGTCCCCCTGGCCCTGTGTCCCATTCTTTCATTGTTACCATGGGTATACCAATATTAGTGGCCCTAGAGAATTTTTCAAGTGAAGCAGCTGACAACGTTTGCATTCTCTAGTCTTACACTAAGCCCATTTTAGACGTGTCATTTTAGCTCAAGGCCAAGGAGAGAGATTCAAATTTTAGCATATGGACGGGGAAAAGGGAAATGTTTTTTTCTTCTGAAAAAGTTGAGAATTTGGGCATGCAGGAACTGTGAAGATTATTTTTGTTGTTTCCGGTATATTTGTTTGGCAGTATGGTTGGGCAGAAATTAACTCAATTTAAGACTCTTCATTATGTGCTAATTGAACTTTGGTGTATGTCTCAGCTGTGGCATATACTTTCAAAAACATTAGCTGAGGAAACTGCATGGAAATTTGCAAAGGATAATGGGATTGCCTCGGTGATGATACATCCAGGTTATGTGATTGGTCCTCTATTACAGCCAGTGTNACTGAGGAAACTGCATGGAAATTTGCAAAGGAGAATGGGATTGCCTTGGTGATGATACATCCAGGTTATGTGATTGGTCCTCTATTACAGCCAGTGTATGTCTCAGCTGTGGTATATGCTTTCAAAAACATTAGCTGAGGAAGCTGCATGGAAATTTGCAAAGGAGAATAGGATTGACTAGGTGACAATACATCTAGGTTATGTGATTGGTCCTCTATTACAGCCAGTGTATGTCTCTACTGTGGTATATGCTTTCAAAAACATTAGCTGAGGAAGCTGCATGGAAATTTGCAAAGGAGGATGGAATTGACTTGGTGACGACACATCCGGGTCATGTGATTGGTCCTCTATTACAGCCAAAACTCAATAACACTTTGGAGGCGATGCTGAACTTCATGAATTATGGTATGCTTGTCTGTGACAAATGAGGATGATCCATATGATAGTATCTTTCTTCGTGAATGTATTAGATACTTCATCTCAATTGTTACTAGCAATCCTCTAGGTACAATCTTGAGTGTGTTATTGTGATCTGGATATGGTGAGTCTTTTCTAGTTTATCTGGCATTGGAAACTTTTTATGGATCTATATCTAGTTATGGTTGGGGAA